GGTGTTTCACATTCTAGGGATTGGACAAATGTATATGACATTTATCCACCATTGTCGCATCACACAAGGTAGTTTCACTCCCCTAAAAGTCCTCTTTGCTCTGCCTATTCATCTCTCCCTCCCTCCTAGCCCTTGATGACCATGATCTTCTCACCATCTCCATGGTTTTGCCTTCTTTGGAATGTCGCATCGTTGGAATCATACAGTCCAGAGCCTTTTCTGATGGGCTTCTTGCACTTAGCTCTATGCATTTAAGTTTCCACGCTGTCTTTTCATGGCTTAATAGCCCATTTCTTTTTAATGGTGAATAATATTCTATTGTCTGAATGTGCCACCGTTTATTTATCCATTGACTTATGGAAGAGTGTCTTGGTTGCTTCCAAAGAGATCTTTTTAAAATAAAAAAGCTGAGAGGTTATTGTTTTCTTTCTACATCCCCACACTTCCCATCATATGAGGCTGGCATCTGGTTTCTTATTAGGGCCTATCCTACCAGCTCTGACCCTGGCTGTCTTCACGATTGTTAATAGAGTGTGGATAAGAGAACACATTCAATCTATGGGGGCTTGATTGGGAGTTAAACCTGTGAACAGAAACTACTTGACATAACTTTTGCTCAAGTGAAGGTTGGGCTGTCTCACTTATGGAGTAGTGAATTCCCTGACATTGGATGTGTGTAACCAAAGGAACTGTGACTGCCTCATAGGAATATTTTAGAAAGAATTAAAACTTTAAAATGGGTAGTTCTACTATTTGAACTTTAAGGCCCATTTTAATATGTGACTCTATGCTAAAGATATTTTGTGTATAAGTGGGAGATGTTCTTCTTCCCTCCTGCCTCTTTAATCCATCTCAAGAGAAGGGAATACTAATCTAAATGGAGGCTGACTCAGGGCCTCACCAGGCTATGGGGCACTGGCTGAGCCACAGGGCATCCATGCAGGCCTGGCTAACTCTCTGGCACAGTGTTCTCCCATAGACTGGAGAAAGGGCCATTGGAACCCAAGGCTGCCTTGTCCATCTCTTCTTTCTTCTGTTTTATTTATTTTATCACATTCTTGCCTAGCACTGACTGTGTACAAGGCAGGATTGTAAGTCTTTTCCAAATACTAACTAAAGTAATCCTCAGAGAAACCCAAGATGGTAGGTACCGTTATTATCCCCATCTCACAGATGAGGAAACGGAGGGCAGAGAGGTTAAGGAACTTGCCCACAGTCATGCAGCTAGTCAGTGGTGGATCAAGATTTGAAGCCAAACATTGTGGTTCTAGAATCGATGCTCTGAACCACTACAGTCGTGCTGCCTCCTTCGTTAAGTGAAAGCTTCAGTTTTTAATGTCATTCTGGTGATTAGATTGGGTCTCACTGGGGAATGAGTGCTTCCTTGTTCCAATCCCCCTGCAAATATAGGCTTATTCTGTCAGACTTTGGGACAAGGATGGCAGGGCTCCTCTGTATAAGTATGCACTCATCTGGCATCATCCAGTGCAGAGACCTGGCCTTGGTCACAGGAGGCCATCGGTGACTTCATGCAGCAGACCTATCTTCCTTTTTAGAGTTAGCGCCTATTCATCCTGTAGATTTCAATGAATTTACCATCCCCTTAAGAAGTTTTATTAACAGTCTGCCCTGCCCCAACCTGGGGGTGTTAGTCAGGCTAAGATAGGTTATGCTACAGTAACAAACAACCTCAAAATCTCAATGATTCATCACAGCTAGAGTTTATGTTTCAATCATGCTGAACCACTTGTGGTCTAGGCAATTATCCTGGGTTCTGTTCCTCCACGTGGTAACTCCAGGTTATTTCCACTTCATGGCTGTACCTTCTCAACACATTTGCCTCAAAGGGGAATGAGAGACTGGAGAATCATGGAGAGGTGTTTCAGTGGTTCATGTATGCTCACATTTTATTCTCACATGACCCCAGAGGGCTGGGAAGTTAGTTTCCTGAAGGTCCAGGCAGGAGAAGAGAACTGGATGTGAGTGAATATTAGTCATGTCTTCCAAACTAAACCAGGTCTCTTTTTTATTGCTCTCATATCATCATGCACCTTATTTATTCCAGTTTGTAACTGCATATTTGTGTGGTTATATGATAAATGTCCATCCTTCCCCCAATCTCCATTAGAATGTAACTTCCATGAGGCAGAAACCATGTCTGCATTTGCTTATTGTTGAATAAATGGGTGGGTGGATGGATAAATGGATGGATGAATGAACGAATAGATAAGAAAATGTGTAGATGGGTGAATGGATGGATGGATAGATGGATGATTGGATGAATAAATGAATAGGTAAATGGTTAGATGGATGAATACATGGATGGATAGATGGACAGATGGGTGGATAGGTAGATGGATAAATAGGTAGATGGGTGGATGGATGGATTAATGGATAGATGAATAAATGAGTAAATGAATGGATGGATACTTGGATAGGTGGATGGGTAGGTGGCTGGCTGGCTGGCTGGCTGGATGGATGGATAGGTGATGGATAGGTGGCTGGTTGAATGAATTGATAGATGGATGAATGGACAGATAGGTGGATAGGTGGAGGATGGCGGGATGGTTGGATAGATGGATAGGTAGATGGGTGGACAGATGGATGGATTAATGGGTAGATAGATAGGTGTATTGATGGATGGGTGGCTGGAGGAATGAAAGGATAGTGAGCCCTTTGTATGAAAGATGACACATTCACAATTCATCATTCCTTAGATGTGTCTATTGTTTTCTTCCAAGTTTCAGAACTAACACAATCCTAATAAGAGTTAATCAACATTTCCTAGGGGATTAACATATGATACCTTTCAGAGAATTAATTGCCATTTGGTGTTAAAAATGCAACCAAAATCCCCAGGAGAAGTTGTAATCTCAGAACTAAGGTCTCACTTCTTCATTCAGCCGCTGCCTTGCTGACATGCCAGTCCTCTTTGTGGCTGGGAGGGGCAATAGAAATGTGTGAAGCCACCACCAGGGAAATGCTACTCACTTCAACCATACTACGGTAGCAATCCTTGGCTTATAATCTCTGAGCATAGATGAGATCAAAGAGACAAGTGGCACATTTGGGACATCAGCAGGAAATGTGCTTCCTTCTCTGAAAGCGTATGTGGCATTGAAATGGATCTGCTTTTGAGATAGCTGAGGAGGAGTCTGGGGTCCACTCCAGGGAGAGATGGCTTTGCAATATGTGGAAGGGGATCCTGCAGGAGGAAGGAGATGCTAATCCTTTGCAATCTCTGTTCTTCCCAAGACTGCAAATTCTTTTCAATATCACCTGGAGCTTCATTTAAATAACCCACTTGCCCCAGTAGCTCTGACATTTTATGAGAAGTCACCATAAAGAAGGCTTTACAATAGGTCACAATAATCAGTGGTCTTGTTGATTGGTTGAACTGCTGCATAGCTGAGATTCTTCAGAGGCCATGCCCTGCATCCTCTCCATTGTTAAACAAGATCTTATGATAAATGCAGTTTTCAGATGTGGTGGTCGTTAGCAACATCACTACTATAGTCAAATTCTCCTCCGTCTAAGTGCATGGTACAGCTACATCTCCTCACCCCCTACCAGTGTAGCCATTGACTTGCTTCAGCCAATGGGGTGTGAGCGGAAGTGACACATGTCACTTCTGGGCAGAAACTTTAAGCGCCACTGTGCAATTTGGTCTTTGCTTCTTTCCCCTGCCACACAGTTTGTAATGCTGCAGAAGCTCCAGCAGTGCAAGTCCCTGAATGAGGGACCTGATGGACATAACCCTCCAGTGACCTGCAGTGGATATGCAGTGTGAGCAAAAACCATGTCTTTTTTGTGTTAAGGCACTGAGATTTTCAGCCATTTGCTACTGCAGTATTCTCTACTCTATCCTGCCTAGTACATGTGACTATTTTATAACACAGGTTACAATATTGATTTAGGAGCTTGAATAGAACTGGGCCTCCAAGTGGACAACAGACACCCAGAGGAGGCATTCTGGGGCTCATGTTGAGAGCAGGATCTCTGAAGCCAGGCAGTCTTGAGTTTGAATTTCTGCTACGCCACTTAGAGGCTGAGTGACCTGCGACAAGCTACTGAACATCTCTGGGCCTCATTTCCCCTTTCTGAAAAATGGGGACAGGACCCACTTCATAAGATTGTTGTAAGGGGTGAATTAGAAAATACAAAGAGCCTAGCAAAGTGCTTCTTATTTAGTAAATATTCGATAAATGTTGATGCAGCCAGAGTGAAATGTATTTTATAAAGTTCAATGAGCATAAATTTCATTGCTTTGTTAAACAACTCAATCTTTATTTTAAGGCAAGAGTTAGAAAACAGCCAATTTAGTGTTGTCCACTTTCCTGGGGATAGGCTTTGTGCCAACAGGGTGCTAGGGGGACAAGGGTGGCCATCAGTAAGCTCTGCTGGCATCTGGTAAGTCATTCTCATTCTCATCTGGCCTCTCGTCACCTGTTTGCACTGGTCCCTACTGTGACCTTCCTTCCTAAGCAAGGCCTCCTCTATTCGTCAGCTCCCTGGGCTGCAGCTGGGCTGCTCAGAAGGTCTGAGAAGACTGCATCTGCCTCTTGTCTCTTCGCTGTTGGAAACCCTCCCCATAGAAGTAGAGGGAGCCATTGTCTCTGGCCACCACACGAGACCCTGTGAGGCTGTGTGTACCCTCTGGTCAGACCTCCCCCTCTTTCCTCTACTCTTCCATTATACTGGTGGTCTTGCTCCTTCTGTGGGAACAGAGACTCTGGCATCTTCAGCTTTGAAATTGCTTAAACATATCTGCTTGGAGGTGGGATAGATGAGTCAAGCTTCAATGTCCTTCACTCTGACCCCAGGGTGTCTAAATGCTCTTAATTTCTTCAGATTATCCTCCACCACCAGGGCTATTTATCTAACCTCAGGGACAGTAAATAGGTCTGTGGCTCAGAAGCTCCTTTCCAAGGAGTTTTTGAGGCCTGCATTCCTGGCTCACCAATACTTTTCACCCGTTTTGTTTTTACATCTTTTTCTAGAGGGAATGGATGCCACATGGTGCAGCTGCCTAAAAGCTAAGAAGGGGTCATGGGGTAACAGGAAATGCCAAAGAAAAACAATAATTGGTAAGCATTTAAAATCACCACCCTACATCATTAGCTATTACTATAATTGTTATTACTATAATCATTACAGACATATTGAGTTATAGGTTCTTTTATTAATAATTTTACTCCTGCACCTTGAGCTCCCCAATCCAAGTAATACCCATATAATTAAAGTTCAACTTTTTCCTTCCTGCCTCAAACAGTATTTCCTGACCTCCAGCCCAAACGTTCCCCTCCTCTCAGCTCCTATTTGATTGCTGTCTTTGATATATAGTAATATGTATTTTAAATGAGTTTTTCATGTGTATACATCTCCTTTTACTTTTTTGTTCTAGTTATCTATTTCTGCATACAAACTATCCCCAAAATTAGCACTTCAAGAAATCATTTTATTACATTTACAGAGTTTGTGGGTCAGTAATTGGGAAAAGGGATTGCTGAGATTGCTAATCTCTGTGCCACAATGTCTGGGGTCTTTCTGGGAAGACCCCGAGGATGGTGGTGACTTGATGGCTGGGACAGGAATCATCTGGAGATGGCTTTACTCCTGTGTCTGGCATTTGACACTGACTGCTGACAGGAACATCTTCAGATGGCCTCTTCATGTGGACTGGGCTTCCTCCCATTATGGCAGCCACAGAAGTCTTACTATGGCATCTCAGGGCTCCAAAGACAAATGCCCTAAGAGAACTAGGTAGAAGCTCTACTGTCTATTTTGACTTAGTATTGCATGTCACATATTACCACTTTTACTTTAAGTCCCAACCTGCCTAGATTCAAGAAGGAGAAACAGACCCCACCTCTCAGCAGGAAGAGTATTAATGACACACTGTTAGATCAGCAATCTTTAAAAAATACCTTTTGCCACTGGTCTAGAAACTCCCTCCAGGACAGTGACCATGACTTATTTCTCTTTGAACTTTTCCAGACCCATCACAGTACTTTAAAAGTAATACATACTCAATAATATTTATTGGTTGTTGAAATGGCCTGTGATGGAGACAGCCACATAAATATCACGGGTTGATACAATTGGAATTGAATAGCATTATGTCATTGACAAGTCACCCTGATATAAGCATCATTCATACGTCATTTAAGTATCACAATAGCCCTGCCAAGAAGGCAATGGTAGCCTCACCTGTGAGCTCACTGGGGCCTCAGAAAGGTTAGACAATGTGTCTAATGTCAACACAGCTGGAGGGCAGATTTGAACCCAGGATTTACCTTCCAGTTCAGGACTTGACAGCACACAGAGTGGGAGACACCCAGTTGAAACAAAGGTGCGAAAACAGGCAGGTAAACATGACTCCCTCCATGTGTGTCTTGAAGTGTTCGACAATCCCTATCCAACATCTGCAGGCTGTTTCTCCTTCCTCCTGTGCCCCCTTGCCAGAAGGCTCAGTGAGGAAAGGCCTCCAAGTCTGGTGTCGAAAGCCAGGCTCCTGGTAACCAAAGATGGTTGGCAAATGGTCTTTGAACAAACTTGTCTCGTGAAATGCCGGATCGGTTTCACAAGTACATAAAATAACAACAGAATCAAAGACATAAACAAGAACAAGCCTGTAATCGTCACACAGCTGGGCAGGCACGGGGGAAGGAAGGCAGTTTCGGATGCCCTTGCCCCTCCTGTTTTCTTTGCTGGAGATTCCAGTTCTCTGGCCATCTGTTCCTTGTTGTGGGTGGTTAAGTGAAATGGGCTGCCAATACAAATAGCCCCACTTGAGGTTTGTTTGCATAAATTGTTTTGAAAGCTTCATGACGAATTTTCAGGATTACTTGCAGTGGTAGGGACCTTGGCGGAGGCGGAAATATAAATTTAGGTATGCCAGTTGGAATCTATTAATTTGTTTGCAGCCCATCACCCTAGCTCTACTGCTTAACTGGCTGTGTGACCTTGGGCAGATGAATTAAACTCTCTGGTCTTTAGTTTTTGCATCTGTTCAATGGAAGATGATAGGCATAGTAGCTACCTTATGGGATTACACATTTGAAACAAAATGATGTATTTAAGGTGCTAAGCACAGGGACTCCCATGGGTGTATGTATGCAATAAATGGAAGAAATTAGAGTCTTTTTCCAAAATGAGAGGAAGAACTGCTTCATTTGGTGTGCAGAGTCAGATAGCTGCGGGGTTGCACCCCAACTAGTTGACTTGTTCTTTAGGAAACAACTTCGGGAAAGTTTTTTTTTTTTTCTCTCTCTCTCTGAGCCTCTTCAATTTGGAGAATGGAGGAAATAACGGATTATGACAACTACATGAAGCACCTTATATAAAACACATAGCACCATATCAAGTACCGACAATGACTGCCATTGTTATTTTCCACAATGGCCATGGCTGGACTGCTTCTGAAGGAGTTTGAGCCCTTTACTCTCTAGATCTGGGATGGCACATCCATCTGTCTCCGCCATTTGTTCTGGTTGCTTGGTTGGAGATGTCTGGAGCAGCTTGTTCAGAAGGAGCTCTGCGGGGCTCATTGGGAAAGAGTGATTGGTACTTTCTGCCAGGAGTGAAGGGCAAGGAGTGAGGGCACAAGAGTGTGTTTGACCCTAGACTCTAGCAAAAAGGCATTAAAACTGCTGCCTGCACATGGTCAGCCGGTAAAGAGAGAAGACATCTAGGGTGAAGGAGTGAGGTGGAATGAAGCCATAGCTTGGAATGTAATTCTATTGTGCTGCTGGCATCTCCAGGAACAGGCTGGGGAGGTGCCAGGAAAACAGTCTATTTTAGGTTGATTCTCTTAGGGCAAGAGAGAGACAGAGATGAGACAGAGACAGAGGAGGGAGGGAGAGAGAGCGAGAGAGCGCAGAAGTATGAGACTAAGGAGGGCAGATAGAGAAGCAGATAGGAGACAGAGACAGAGAAAGGAAAATGGGGAAGAGGAAGAGACAAGGAGTAAGGAGACAGAGAGGAAAGAGCTAAAGTCGAAGAGAGACAGAAAAAGAGGAACACACAGAGAGACAAAGACAGACACAGAGAAGGTGTGACAGAGACAGATGCAGATATGGACAGACACACACAAATGCAGAGACAGCCATACAGAGGGAGAGAGAGACACATATACAGAGAGTGAAACAGGAACACAGAGAGATAGGGTAGGAGAGATGGAGAGATAGAGACAGAGAGAGAAGGGAGAAGAGGGAGAGTTAAGTGGCTGCCCATGGTTCCCAAAGCCAGACGCAGCAGGGAATGGTGTTCATTCAGCCTGTGTGAGGATTTGGATCTTACACCCGGGGACCACCAGAAGCGGTGGTGGCCCTTGTCCCTTGGATACCAGCTGCTCATGAGTCCTCAGCCAGGCACACCTGCAGGATCTTTTGGGCTTCCAGAAGCCGGACTCAGGTCTTTCATCTTCCAGCCCTGGAGTCCTATCCTGTAATGCAGGGCAGGAGCTGCCCAGATGGAGTGAAGGCCGGAGCTCATGGCCGTACCAGTCCCAGCATTTGCACTGATGACAGTTAAATTGTCAGGGCCTCTGTTGTTCATTTACATCACAGCCTTGAGAGTCCTCTGATGACCTCCCTAAATGAAAGCCAGCTGCCCCCGTCTCGTCCATTGTACATTTTGCTTCACTTCAGACTTCAGACAGTCTCGTGACTTTCAACTCAAACCTGCCGTCTGCCTTGACAAGCTGTAGTGCTTAATGATATTTTATTGCATGATTTCACCAAACCCTAGAGTTTTTCACTTATCTTAAGCTAATGGACTAAATCTGGACCCATTTGCTAAAACAAGCTCTCTTTTCGCAAGGAGAAGAGTGGTTACACATAAATCAGGGTTTCAGGTAAAATATTAAGTTTCTATTGCGTCTAACTGAGCAACAGGCTGTACTTCTCTGTGACTGGTATGGCAGCCATCACAAGGCAGGTTTGAAACTTGTTTTCCTACTGGGAGAGAGGCACAGCAAGCTATTTGGTTCACTGCCCCCAGTCACTTGATAAATGTTTGTTGAGCTTCTATTATATGTAAGCCCTTGAGGGATATGCAATTAAAAAGCGTGCCCCAAAAGAGGTTACATTCTGGTAAGGGATATAGACACACACACATGCACACACACACATACACACATATATACACATGTACATAAAGATATACATCTTTAGATAAATATACACATACATGATATAAACACATGCATGTAATAGAAATACACATACTTATATATACACACATACATATATACACATACATGTAAAATATACATACTTATATGCACACATATACGTACATACACATGCACATATATACATACTTAGATATATGCCCACACACATATATACATGTAAATATATATACTTACATATATGCACATATATGTATATACACATGCATATATACATACTTAGATATATAAACACACATACATATATACACATACATGTAAATATATACATACTTATATATACACATATACATATATACACATGCATATATACATACTTTAGACATATAAACATATATACACATGCACATATATACACATTTGTACACACATATACACATTCACATAAATATATAAATACATACATATGCACACATATATACACACACTTACATATACATATTTAGGTATACATGCACAAAAAATATATATACTTATATACACACAGACACATATACACATGCACATAAATATATATACATACTTATGTATACCTACATACATATATACACATGCACATATATACACATTTGTACACACACATACACATGCACATAAATATATAAATACATACTTAGATATATACACACCCACCTATATACACATACACATAAGTACATATATACACACACACTTAGACATATATACACACAGACAGATATATACACATGCACATATGTACATATATACACACATACACACATTTATACACGTGCACATAAATATATGTATACATACTTATATATACACATATACATATATACACATGCACAAACATATATATTTATACACAGACACACATACATATATATCTGCATAATTTGAAGTAGAAAAAACTCAGCACTTCAATGG